TGAGGCTGTGATTACTTTTCTTTTTTTTTTAAATCTATAAAACAACAGATCTTCAAAACCTTTTTTATTAATTTGAATGCAAACATCATACCTTCACTCACAAAGCTGAATTCTGGCAAATCTTAGGAAGTAACACATAAGTCATGGTAAGAAATGAATAGTTTGCTAACTAATAAAGAGAGGTATACTGATTGCATTTACTGAATTATCAGAAGCTACATTAGTTGACATAACTTAAAGGATGAAGAACCAGATGAAGGGTTTCCGATACGCAAAACTCTTGGAAATTTCCAATGGTCTACAGCTACAATTTGAAACTTCTTTAATTAGAAAGGAACTTTTTGGAAGGAAAATATAATTCTCACATGCAATTACTAGTTTCAGCTTTTTCATCCAATCCAAACCTATACGGGGCACAAAAGCACTCAGAAGCTTATTTCTTACAGTTAATCATCTACTGCTATAAGCCAAATAGTGAACACCTGTACACATAAATTAAATACTGTATATTCAAACATTCACTCACTGAAACACACGTAGGTGCTTCTTGAAGGCATACTTCTCTAGGAGTATATACAGAAGAGCGACAAAAATCGAAAGGCATACATGCATAGGTTGATTTAAGGATGTATTATTGCTCCAAGACTCTCCAGAGCTACTGCCTCCTGCTTTCATTTTTCATGCCTTAAGCACAAGATTAATCTTTCTTTCTCAAACCAGCAGCATAATTTTTCAAAAAATACTTACTATTCACTTAGCTTTAGTAACAATATGGGTGTGTCTTATGCTGACTTGTTTAGCTTGTGCAACTTTCTCCTCCTTCAGCATCCCCACATGGATTTAACTATGGGTTCCTATAAATCCTGTGTCAGGCAAGTACAGTAATCTGCCTCTGGTTTCAAGGTGTGAAACTGCAAATGTGTGTGCTCCTCAGCACCTTTACCTGTGTGAACTTTCCTGACAAAATCAAGTTGTCTACACTCACAGCTGCTTTTAGAGCTGATTCCCCTAGTTATTAAGTCAGTACATGAAATATTTTGGTTTTCCTCTACTAAAGAATATAGATTACATAACTCTTCATTACAAAACAGACTTCTGTGATGCATCAGAGCGACATTGAGATGATTAAATGCACTGTAAGAACATTCTGAATTCTTCAGTAAACCTACATATCTAGATGGAAAATCAATTTATGTTTCCACAGTAATTTACAGTATACAGCAGACAGTAACAGAAAGTTTATCTTCTTGAAGATAGAGTTTTTTTCATTAAAAAAAAAAATAAAAAGCATAAAAAGAGCCCTCAGGATAAAAACTGATTTCATAGAATCACAGAATCATATAATCACAGAATATTTTGGGATGGAAGGGACCTTCAAGATCATCCAGTCCAACCCCCCTGCAATGTGAAGAGACACCTCCCACCAGACCAGGTTGCCCAAAGCCCTGTCCAACCTGGCCTTGAACACTTCCAGGGAGGGAACATCCACAACTTCGCTGGGCAACCTGTGCCAGTGTCTCACCTCCCTCACAGTGAAGAATTTCTTCACAATATGTCATCTAAATCTACCCTCTTTCAGTTTAAAGCCATTACCCCTTGTCCTATCACTACGCGCCCTTGTAAAAAGACATCTTCTCAAGGTTTAGACATGTCTGTGCAATTAAAAAATCTGTTTAGCAACCTCAAAGTCTAGCAAAACTGGCACTCCCAGTGCTCATGACCACAACTAACCTCATCAGCTGGGTGCTCCAGCCTCTGATCATCTTCATAGCCTTCGTCTGGACCTACTCCAGCAGCTCCATTTCCTTCTTATATTGGGGCCTCCAGATTTCTGACACCTAAAGATATTAACAACAAATGACAGAAAGATTTTCATCTTCAATGTTTCAAATCAACTAAACGGCAACTTGGCAATTCTCTGGCTTTCAGAAAAGTGCTCAGAAAATGTTCCATTGCTTTTAAAGAGCCATTTGACTCAAGGGATAATCACACACAATGGGATTTCTTCCTGGAGATTGAAGTAGCAGCTACCAGATATTGGCAAAGGTCTTATTTTCTGAAAATACCCTGTTTAGCGAGAAAAAAAGGCTTAGCTGTTACACATAATCTTTTCTAGTTAGTGGAGATCACCCAACTCTATTTCTAAGAAAAAAACACAGGGCATAATACTACAACCTCCTGCTCCATTGCACAGGCAAAAAAAAACCTTACCAGGCTATAAAATCCATAATTTCAATTAAAGAGCAACTTAAAGCGATATAACAGTATCTATGGGAGGTAGGCAGGACCTCAGTCTTCAGTCATCTTCTAGCAAAGCTCAGATCTTCCTACTTTGTGATACAGAATTTATTTTTAAACTGAAAAGACTATAGACTTGAAGAAAGACAACTCATAATTCCAGAATTTGGATTGTGTTCTGCTCAGAATTAAAACAAGCCATCACTCACTATAAGGGTGGACAAAAAATTAGAAAGGAAAAGAAAAATTTATATAAAGACATCTGAGTCCTTCTAGGAAAAAAATAAGACAAAGAAGGAAAGACAGACAGACAGGCACACAGAAAGAAAAAGAAGATATAGTTTAATTTAATTTTATTTCAATGGCAATCTGGGGTCTGAAGATTGTCATAAAGTACCTGACTTCTGTTAGAATATTTAAAGCTACAAAGATTTAGCTGACTATTTCCTCAAGTGCTAAGTGAGCTTCCCAGTCCAGTGGTTTCTATGACCGAAAGAGCTTCTTCATTTCCAGTCTGCTAAAGCCTAAAGTGGTGCATTTGTGAGCCCTGGAGATACCTCACGTACACTTGCCAAAGGGTGCAGCTGCTGCAGTTTCCATTTGCAGGTCAGTAGCAAGGCTGAGAGCATTTTCCAGGCAGACACATACATACAAGCACACACAATCACACACTGCACAATCCAAGACAGATAGAGCAGAGGCTTAACCAGCACCCCCCTAAACACCAAAAGAACTGACACAAACAAGAGTACAGATAGCCCATACTCTTAGTACTTTCAACACATGCAGACTAGAGTGAGATCCACTGAAAATGGATGAGAAGAATTAGTAAGAGTAGGTCAGACATACCTTAAGAAAAGGCAGCATATTGCTGTTGCCATTCAAGCATGCATATGACTTCACATAACTTTTCAGGAAAGGAGAATTGATTCATCCCTTGCTTTGACGCAAAATAAAGTAATAAAGACAGACAGACATTCTTCTTTCTCCTTCATTTTTCCTGTGCTACCTCTGAGATAACTATACCTCCTACAGTATGTCATTTTATTAGTTATTGTACTGCTGTTAAACATATCTTCTCCACTTAGATTGTACCCTCATGCCACTATAAAAACTGGCTTTTCTTTTCACTGGAGAATAAGTTAGTTTTGAAACCAGTGTTTGAAGGAGAAAAGAAAAAAAATAGTGTTAAACTTTATCCAAAGGGCTTCTTTTAGAAATACCAAAGCATTAAATGCAACCTTGAAGGTAGAAGAATCCATTTTTTAAGTACTCAGGATTCTAGTATAGCTAAGATTTGTTCCAGAAGTTCAGGTTATGACCTTACAAAATACTCCTCTGATCAAGGCATACCTCTACCTACCGCTTCCTCCACATTCACATGTGTTTGCACGTGCTGAAGACTCTCTCCTCCTCTCCCTGTTGCAACTTCCAGCAAAGAAGCTATTATGGTACAGAATACTTATCAAACAAGAACTGGGGGAAAACTGAACTAATATGGTAATGTTAAAGAAAGAAAAAAAATTCAGCAGTGATCAATTAGCTTGATTTACATGCAAACATATTTTTAAAAATAAGTTTTCTTCCAGTGCAACTGCAGAGTGATACAAAGCCAAGGAAACACAATGCTGCCAGTGTCTGCCAGTTTATGAGAAGATTGATGTTTCAAAAATGTGGAGTTCATGTAAAGGCTGAGGCCTCATGAGGATTCCATTACTGACACAAGCCATCAGCCCTAAGACACTTAGCACAACACAGCACCAAAACAAATAGAGCATGACAAAATGCAGATGGTCTTCCAGCTTCTTTAGACAGCCTTCCTGAAAAATCTGCTCTAGATGTCCCAAGTCACCCTTGCAGTGAGAATACTTCTTACAGCAGCTTTCAGGTACACCAGCGCTTTCAGCTGGAAGATGCCAAGAAGCAGTTGTTGTCTTTAGCCAGTCCATGTAGTTTTGAATTCCACAACACCACAGCTTCCTCTGTACCTCATCCACAGCCTTGCTGCCAGATTCCTGGGAGCATGTCCCATTGTACTGATTGACAAGCTGATCCATAATGTTTTTCAGCTCAGAAGCTATCCAAATAGACTAAAGCTGTGCCAGAACCACCAAAGATATTTCTAAGCAAAGAAGGATCAGCAATAAGTACATGAGAGTCCCTCGTTGATAGTGGGAGCTCTTAGCAGAAATAGAGATAGCCAAAACTCCAATAGATAGCACAATAAGTGCAGCTGCAGCAACCATCCAGTCAAGGAGAGACAGGAAAGACCCCTGAAATAAGTAACTGTAGTTCTTGTTCATCAGGATCACCAAAACTCCACCAAAGGCCAGAGCTACAGCAGTGCAGCAGATAATGAAGCCTAGAAGCCCCAGCAGAGATTGAGCAAAGCACCTATGACAGAAGTCCTCATAACGCCATAAAACCAACACAAGCACAGCTCTAACTCTCCTCATTTTGCTTGCTCCTAGCAGCCCAAGCCCTCATTACCACCATTTAAGAGGCCTCTGCCCCACTTATCCAGTTGCAGCAGATGACACCTCCACCCAAAAAAAACTTGCAAGGGAGCAACACTGATGAGATTCCTTCAGCACAAAGATTAGGTCCTGCATCAGCTGTCTACATGCTGCTGCTTGTTCAGAGCAGCCTGCAGATACCAGAAGGGTGCGTGCCAAACTTGCTGTTGAGAGGGCATTTACTCTGCTGTCATTGGAGACATTTGCATTTGAAGGGGGAGGACAGCTGGCAACAGGCTGCACTCCTTCATGTATTAAAGAGTTAAATGCAGAGAAGTAGTTGCGGTGGTAGCCAGCAAAGCTAGTTCAAATCACTTAGGCTGTCTAGGTGACAGAGGTAACCCAACTATCAGTCCTACAGCACAAGCCAAGATGGCAACAAATGCACGAGTTAAAGTCATTAACGAAGTAATAATTCAAGCAGGGATATAATAATTCAATAATTCAAACAGGGATGTCAGTAGGCAACCCTCACCTAAATGCATTATCCTTCCCAGTGCGTTTACCACTCATTAGATTTTTAAGAGGGGCATGTTGATGTTAATAATAGTCTACCTTTCTTTTATTCAGCAAGATTTCTGTGTAGATAGAATCAGTTACTCAAGACACCTGGATGAGAAATCCTTATCATTTCATTCTTGTACCCCTCAGCTTGCATCACCAGTGATTTGACTGAGTGCTCTAATGACTGAATACAAACCACAGCAAGAACCATATTAACTTTTCCTTGTCTGTAAAGAAACTGAATTACACACCAGCTAAATTACTTTACAACAGTCCCAAAGGGAATGAATGACACTTATCAGCCAGCAGAAGAGCACTGTTTCTAAAACATGCAATACAGAAGAGCCAAGCAGAATGGGAAATCTGCATAGAACTTGCCACAGGAACTAAGAAGGGAGATCCCAAGGCCAACAGTGATTCCCTAATCATCCTGATAAAAGTCCCGTAACAACTCCCTTTCTCAAGATGCAGAGCAGGGCAAACACAATGGGCAGAATACAGAGAACTGATTCTCATTTTCAGAAATGTGAGCACCTGCAGAAGATCAGAGTAAGGCAGTGCTCAGATCCCTGGAATTCTGGAAAAGCCTCAGCAATGCTGATGATACCACATCTGTCAGATATTTTACAAGGACATATTGCTGTTATTTATGCTGTGCACACACAGATGTTGGGCTGATCCCCATAAAAATGCTTTTCTATATGCTGTACAAACATGTCATTAAGGCTAATTATTTTGGAATGAGATAAATTGCTTTTATTATTTTTAATCTTGCCATTAACATGGAGTGATTAACTTGTTAAATCTTAACCAAATGCTTCTTTCAAAGCTGTTCTAGGATGTGGTGTTTTCCTGCAACTCTTCTGTGAAGGCTGTATCTCCTTTCTCTCCTGTTCATTTTGCTGCTACTCCTAGTCCTGCAGCTGTGTTGCTTTTGCTGCCATTCACTTATTCTCTTGAATGCCTTTTTTCTCTGATTTCTGTGCTCTCCATCAGGGAGAGGGAGAAGGGGGGAACAGAAGAGATTTCCCTTCACATCTGTACGCACAGGTAAACTGCACCGATTTATTGTTTCCACAATGCAGAAGTAACATATCAGAAATATGTGAGGAAACATATCAGAAATACATCAGAAAACACTATGAGGAATAAGAGTTCCTTGTTGCTACTTTGCAAGCTTTGTGGAAAAAGCACACAAACTTGCCTCTTCTCCCTTCTGCCTTCCACCAAGCTTATAAAACTTAATTAGATATTAAGAACTAAGTTACAGCACTATTAACTTTTAGCTTATTCTACAGTCTCTGAAATGCATTAGAAAGGTTCAAACTGCCTACAGGAGAATTTTACTGTAGATCTTGTTTGTTTCAGCTAGGGTTACTTCTGTCCCCTCACTGAATACATTCTCACTGTGAATACACACAGAGGAGAGAATTTCAATGATTATTGAAGCCTAGAGGCTCTTATCTTTCTAAATATTCCCCAAATATAATAATTACCTCTTTACCTAAATCTGACTCTTTGGACAACTGTGAGGATCTTTTTTATTTCTTTCCTATAGCTATGTGACAGAGAGGGGAGGAAGAGAGAGAGAGAGGTGAAGCAGCATTTGTAAGTGCTGCCGCAGACTCCAACGTTTCCATGAGTGCCTTCGTTCTGGCTTAGCCCTGCACACAGAGCTGTGAGCCATCCCGCAGGAGCAGGGAGCCATCCGCATTCAGCCTCCCACAGTCAGGACTTTTGTGGTGGTACAAGCAGAGAGGAGAACACATATGCCTGCCCATTTGCCATGGGAATCAGAAGTATCAACACCAAGCATTGATCGGGAGCCAGTTTCCAGTTGAGTTCTCAGTGCCTGGGGCCATCTCGGGGGATGCAGTGTACTCAGCACCATGCAAGAGAAAATCACTGCAGTGGGGATTAATATTGGCCGGGCTGTCTAAAACCCCTCACTCACTTTGTGCAAGGCAATGTATACACACATAGGAAAAGAGAGCTTCTGCTCAAGGTGTTTGCTGTCTGGTAAGACAGGCAAGACAAAGAAGGACAAGAAAAACATATAACTGGTCCCTGAAGTACCCAAAAGACATAACTGACACCCTCAACAGCACTGCATTTGTGGTAAGTAGTTTTACCTGTGTGTGCAGCCAAAAGCTTGGAAAAAACAATAAGTGGAGGTATCCATCAAGAGACTGTAGTGTGACAAAGAGAGTATAGGTAAGGCAGAATAGGAATGTGCCTCTGTTTTCTTTCCAGTGATAAACAGCAAAACATGATAAATGCTGTCCCTGCTTTCTCTGGAGTTGTTTCTGCTTATGAACTGATGATTATTGAAATTCAAATGTGAGTGTAACAGATAATACATTTTAGATAAACTACTTTCTGGAATGTTGCTGAAAGTATAATCCTTCAAGTTAATAAAATGCCATCTGTGTATTCTTTGCACTTACTGTTCTAGCAAGCTCTGACTGATGTTGAATGGCTCTGATGTGCCACAGAGTTCAAAGAGGTTCATTTCACATGGGTCCAGGAGTGGGACCAGAGAGATGTCAAGTCAATGCTGTGGCTGTGCAAATACAATGTAGGCGACTGACTAGACTCATTTTAAATGACATGTTCTGTCATAGAGATTGATCAGGGAGCATATCCAAGCTCTTGCTTTATTGGGCAACAGTTGGTTGCCAAATCAAGATGGCCAGCTAGTCCATTCAGACTTCTGTGAACTAGAAGAAACCAAGAGGTGATCATGGGATCAGGGTACTATTAGACAAGCCCATCTTCTAAGTTTAATACAAACCTCGTATAAAATGAGACGAGATCTCAAAGCCAGACCCTTAGCCACTGCATTCACTCTCACAGTGACACAGAAGAGCCCTGAAACTGCCTCAGAAGAACAGCAGGCATTTCCCAAGTAACTTGTGCACACATGAAGCTACTGTATCTGTACTTTGCAGATTAAGTAAAAGCACTCTGGAAGAGGTTATGCTTGAGAGTTTAGAACATCTTTTAAAGGTCATGTTAGGTTAAAGCACATCCATAACATATGACTTTAAAACATAAATAAAACACAAAGGTTTTTATCAACTTCATCTTACCCAAATTTTACATTAAGCTTCTCCCCCAGCCTACCCATCCTCTTGACCCCTTCAGCAGGTGACTCAGCAGGGCTGGCAGATTCAGAAAAAGTGCTAAATAGGTATCATTGGTATCACTCCTCCCTCCACTGATCGCAACCCCATCTGCTCTGCCTGGCAGTATATCTTTCTCAAGCTGAAGAGACTTCACACACAACTTTTCCAGTATCCAAGAGAAGCCTAGGCTGCATGTAAAGTGATAGCGACTAAATAGTAGTATTTGGAGAACAAACCCCTCAAACTTTGATTCTTCTCAATCAGATTATTCAAACTGTGATGGGTAGTTAAAATACCACGCAACAGGACTGGGTACCAAGCAGAAAGCTATTTTTGAAAAGACTGGAAGCTGCTGAGAAGTCTATTGGCTCTTTGGGAATAAAAACCACTACCTATGAAACATGCCATGTTCCTAGATCACTCTGACAGGCCAAATGCAAAAAAGGATGAACAAGCCTGGTTGAAGCCAGATCATACAGTTGCTGCCATGCTCTAGTGGTTGCCATAGTAACCAAGGTCAGATGCTGTTGCCTACATGAGACTAATACTTCTCAAGCAAAGCCCGAAGCAAGCAGAGGTGATACAATTGCCACCTTCTATTCATGGGGAAAATATACTCTCCACAAGAACTAGTTTACTATTGTGCAGATGTTTCAACTAAAGTCAATCAGGTGTTTACCCCTGGCTCTGTTTGCCTGACCTAAATTTGCTTTTTTCGTAGCTGAGAAGTCAAATTAACTGCTTTCAGGGCTTGTATTTAGCTTTCCTTTTACCATTCCAGATTTTCATTGGCATTGAAAATATTGAAAATCACAAGCTGGAATTCTGGTGTTTTCACATATTTCTCTCTTTCTTTTTACAAATGGAACACAACTGAAAAACACTAAAATCTTTTTTTCCCCTATTTTTTGCCAGTCTGGAATTGTTTTAAAGTGCCTTAGAAATGGGATGAATACAGACTAACAAATAAATTAAAAAAAGGAAAAAGAAAAAAAAAACCCAACCAAACAAGCAAAAGCATTTTCTCTGTTTCCATCAGTTTGGATTTTCAGACATTGGAGAAAATTTTAAAAGAAACAGAATGGCAAAAGAAGAAAAGAAATTAACGTAAAACTTATGCTCTTTTTATAGCTTTCATTTTATTGCAGTTGTGTATTGCAACTGGTTGGAGGAAGAGGTACTTTGTAAAAACTTCAAAATAATGAAGAAAGGACAGAACACTGTGAAATTCAAGTCACCTTGACATTTGAAGTGTTTTGTGACGTTTCTTTCACAGAATCACAGAATCGCTCGGT